GCCTCCTGACCTACCCCCCCCGGGCCCCGCCCCCACACCGCCCCCTCACCGCGGAACCTCTTCAGTCCTCCAGTGACGCTCCGCCCTCCGCCTCCGTACTGCGCAGGCGCACGGCCCGGACCCTTGCCCAGGGAGGCAGGACTGCGCAGGCGCGGAGGGCGGGACGCTCGAGGTGCGCCTGCGTTGCGCGGGAGAAGTCCCTACGCGCTCAGTGGGCGCCTGGGTGTGAGCGCGGGAAGATGGCCGAGCCGGTGTCCAAGTCTGTGCTGTTCGTGTGTCTGGGTGAGCCGACGTGATCTAGCCCCATTCTGGCTTTCCCGAAGGGTCGGGGTGGGTCTCGTGTCGTCTGGGGTTCGTCGCTGGGCCAGGGACGGCGATCGGGAGGAGGGCGGGGAGGGTGGGATGGAGCGCCCCGGGGCTGTTTCTCCGCGCCGCGCACCTGCTGGGCCCGCTCTCCTAGCCGGGTTGCCTCCCGTGCCCAGCCCACTCTCCAAGCGAGGTCCTTTCTCTTCCATGACCCCTCTCACCTGCCCGGCCCACTCTGCAAGACTGGGTCAGGGATGGCCTCATCTATAAGGTGACATTTGGGCAAAGACTTGGAAGAGGTGAGAACACAAGCCTTGGATCTTTGGAAAAGTGTCCTGGCCCAGGAGAAAGTGGGTGGACAGTTTTGCGGTGAGAGTGCTGGTCCCGTTCATGTTGGCAGGGAAACACTGGCCTGGAGACCCAGGAGCCTTTTCAGCCAGATCTTCCTCTGTACCTGAAGGCTCTTGAAGGTAATTTGAATGCCACCATGAATACATAACTAGAACCATTCTGGATGCATAGGAAAGCGAATTCCTTACATAAAATGAGTGCTCGGGGGCAGGAGTCTGTGAACCCCTTATGTGAAGAGCCAGAAAGTAAATATTTGGTACTTTTCACAAGCAGACCTAGACAATACATAAGCAATAACATTTGGCTGTGTTCCAGTATAACTTTATGGACACTGCAATTTGAATTCCAGTTGAATTCCATTGAATTTTCTCGTGTCTCAAGGTATTATTCTACTTTTGAGTTTTTTTAACTGTTTAAAAAGGTAAAAATTATTCTTGGCTCCGGGAGCCATACATAATAAAGGTGATGAGCAATGAATCCTAGTTTTTAGATGCTGTTTTAGGGCCTACACAGGACAGATCTGGTGAGGCCTGTGAGGACGTGGGCTTACTCTGAAGGACACAGGCCACTGGAGGATTAAGCCATTGAGCAGAGGAACACTTAGAAAGAAGTGTTCAGCTGCTGTGTTGAGATTACACTGGGGAGGGGTGAGACCAGGGGTGCAGAGGGGCATGTGCTGGACCAGAGAGGGCCTCACTGGTGGGGGCGGGGGAGGCGTCAAGTTCTGGGCACACTTGAGGGCCTGATGAAGGCCTTTTCCCATGATGGCCTGTACTTAGAGCAATAAGAATGGTATGTTTTTGAAATGTAAAAAATGTATTCCTTCAAAGCATTTAATTGTAAGGCTCTTTTCACACTGAAGTGTAGAGAGAACTGTCAGATGTTTTCATTGGTAAGGCTAATGGCAAGAAAGAACTGCAGTGCTTAGTTTGGAAAGATGATTGAACGTTCCGTGTTTTGTGCGGTAGAGATGGTGCCTTACTGTCGAAGGCACTGGTGTTTGTGCCACCGCCAGTGTGGTTGGAAATGATAACATTAGTGGTGCCAGATTACCTCTTTCCAACAATTAATTGACATTTATTGATACTTCATTTGTGCTGTGCACTGGGGGGGGGTGTGGCTCAAGGTAAGAGACACAGCCCCTACCCTTGGAGAATTTCATTTTTTTCTTTTGTGAGTCTCAGTCCTTGAAATAAAGGTGTGCAGTACGAGTATGAATTATCCGCCTAATTTGGGGGAAAAAAAAAAAAACAACAAAACTTGAGACTTCACAGATCTTTTTTCCAAAGAAATCGGAAGATGACATTTTAAGTTTTTAGAACTTTTCCATAGATGAAACCTGCATTACTGTGTTTTACTCATGAGCTCTGTTTTTAAATAATTGGTGATATCAACCTTTGAAATAAAGAGAGCAAGTTACAAGGAAGCAGGATTCTGCTGATTTTATAAGTAGTATGACTTCTAATTTTTGTAGTAGTAATTTTTCCCCATCTATACTTATTCATACCTTGCTGTAAATAGAACTCTCTGGGAAAAAAAAGTAATTTTGGGTGAATATGCCTTAACTTTAAGGCAGTAAATAACCCTAGGTTTTGTCTTGTGGGGAAACTAAGCTGTTTAATAATTATTTGTAAAGGGGTGAGACTAGTCTTAATTATGTCTTTAGATGTGAGATTGTAAGCATCTATTCTAGAGTTTCAAAATAACAAGGGTTGTCTTAAATTGAGTCGAGTGGTTGCTCTTTAGAAGTATTCCCAGGGTACATGGGGACAAGTAAAACAATTACACATCTATCAGAGCCTTACAATAATTAACATAGTGGGGGTGATACTTGTTTTAAAAACTCTACAAAATTCAGAATGTGTAAAGGAAAAACTTCACAGTACAAACTAGCTTACAGAGGACATTGGGGATCAATTCCTGTCTTCCCCTTCATGGTTGAGTGGTTGGCAGATTTTGTTCACTGCTGTGGAAACCACAATCTTTATGGGGAAAAATATTATAAGTACGTTATTAGATTGAAGACTAACGTGGAAACTGAAGAAGATTGTAGTAAAGTCAGTGTCGGTTTCATGTAATGGGGAATTAGTTGTGCTTCACAACATTCTACAAGATCCAATTCTACATGCTTAACACAAACCCCAAGATTCTAATATGCATCAAGTGGTGTGTGTTTTGTTAACTCAGTTCCTGTCTAGTCCTAGTGTTTCCGTGCTGACCTCTGTGGGCTGAGTGTCTTGCAGTTGTCTGCCTGACTGTGAGAAGAGCCTTTATCCTCAGGCCCTGCACAGCGCTGGGCTCCTGTGTGGGACACGTGCAGAGTATGTTTGTTGGACGTTCCTTCCCACTGGACCTGCTGGGCCCACCTCCCGGGCACAGTTAAGGTCCTTGTAACCAGGCCTTCCAGCACACATTCACTGCTCTCTTATTCATACAACCCTTAACTTAAATGCCCGGAAAGGTCCTTCTCCTCCCTTCCATCTTCCTTTTTTTTTTTCCTGGTAAGAAATTTCTTACTATCTTGTTTATGCTTTTAGAATCTTTAATTTCCTGTGCTTCTGTGGTATACTGCTTGTCTGTCCACATTTGTTTTCTTGTTTTGCTATAGCTAACTCTGAGTTTTCTGTAACACATTGCTTGGCACATGTAGAAGTATTTTGAGAGTAGATTTTATGTCTTTTATCTTTTCCCCCAGTGTAGTAAGGAATTAGGCCCTCCCTGGCCTTTGTCCCGGGTCCTGGGTGGTAACGTACAACGTCTTGGAATTCCCTATGGTAATAGTGTTTTGTTACTCCAGGAGGTCCCTGTGCAGTTTATACTGAGAGGGGGAGTCTGGCTGGGGGTGTGAGCACTTGTGGGGGGCAGCCAGAGAATGAGTTCAGCTTCAGGCCCATAGTTTCATCAGTCACGACTACTTAATGACACTCAGTGAGCCCTTGGCACTGGAGCTCTGGTGAGCTAAGCCCCAGTGCCCTGGGTATTGTCCCACACGGATGACGAGAAAGTGACACGTGCCCGAGGACCAGAAAGCTTCACGTGTGAAACTCCTCCAGAATCTGCCCTCTGCTTTCTAACTCTGGCTGGTTCTGCCTTGAATCTTTTTGTTATAAACCTATAATCCCAAGTCTAGCATTTTCCTGAGTTTTTCGTGTTCTTCTAGAGAATTATTGCACTTGTGGGGACCCTGAGTCTGTAGCTGGCTGCTCTGAAGCGAGGGTGGCCCTGGGGGTCCCTGAGCTTGCAGCCGATGTCGGAAGTTCCGAGCAGACTTGCTGGCCCGGAGGGCAGCGGCCTTGCTTCAGCCGGCCGGCTCCGTGGCACTGGGGCAGGCCCTGCAACAGACCGCGCAGTGAAATCTTGTGCTGAACTACCGTTATGGCTGAATCCACTTGTTTGTGTATCTTATGAAACAGGATCCCTCCTTATGTGCGATATACTTGGATATCCGTATCTTTAATGCTACTGTATTTCATTTTAAAGTAGGCTCCTTGCAACCCACTTCATTGGTTTCACGACTCACTTCTGGGCTACTGATAGCAACCTGGAAAACGATGATTTGGGCGGTAATTGTTTTTCTGACATCTTGGCTATTTGTACTTTGAGCACCTGGACAGATGGAGAGTGACCGGCTGTTCCCCAGAGGTCCTGCCATTCAGCGGTCTCTCCTGGGGGAGGTGCCGTTGCTGGGTGTCGGGGTGAAGTGCTTGCGGGGATCCAGCATCTGCCCTTGCATCAGACCTGATGCCCACTTTCTGCACTCCCTCTTTTCAAGGTAACATCTGCCGATCACCCATTGCAGAAGCAGTTTTCAGAAAGCTTGTAACTGAGCAAAATCTTTCAGATAACGTAAGTACCATTCTCTGTCTTAAAGAGGCCAACCCGAATGCCTTTGGGGCAGAAAATTGTGAAAAAAATTCTTTTTTTCTCCTGCAGTGGAGGATAGACAGTGCAGCGACATCCACATATGAAATAGGGAACCCTCCTGACTATCGAGGGCAGAACTGCATGAGGAAGCATGGTATTCCCATGACTCACGTTGCCCGGCAGGTACCGTATCGGAACTTGAAAGTGCACATGTGTGTTCTGTGTTGCAGTGGGTCATTGACAGCGGCGCTGTTTCTGACTGGAACGTGGGCCGGTCACCAGATCCAAGAGCTGTGAGCTGCCTCAGAAATCATGGCATTAGCACAGCCCATAAAGCACGACAGGTAGCAGAGTTCTCATTTAATTTCTATTACTGGTGTCCCGTGACTTGTGAAGTTGTGAGAGGCTTAACCACACTGGCGTGTGCATGAGCAGTTATTTCAGGCCCGGTTAAGTAGCCACAGTGTGTCCTTCTTGTTTCACTGCTGACTCCACAGTTCTGAAAGATGTGCGTGATCTTGGAATTTACTTAGCGAAATAACACGTATCATCACGCAATTGATACTGGAGAGAGCCCTCCCTAAGGGCTGGAGTTAGAATCTCCTTTTTATTTTCTGAGATCTTCCTGGTGACTAGTCTGGTTACATTCCAAGTTTGTTGCTAGAATAAAGTACTAGAACATATACAACAATGTATTTTCTACTGTGAAGTGTCTTAGAAATGTGGGGTGTTACTGATCCCAGCGGTTGGACTCCTGGGTTCAGAGTCTGGAGTGCTGGGCAGTAAACCCTCCTGTGTCCGCTCAGACGGTGTGGAAGCCAGTAAAGGCTGTGGTACATTTGAAATACGGCCAGTGTGACAGAGGAAGTGGAGTTTACGTGTTAACTTATTTGAGTAGCCCCCTGGAACTGGTAAGCGGCTAGCTGAGCTGCACAGTTCTGGACTCTTGCATAACCACAGGGGAGACTGTGAGGGTTCCATGCCACAGCATCAGTGAGCCGTCAGGGCTCAGGGCAGGCTCGTGGTGCTCCCTCGCTAGCAGGCTCCTGCAGGTGTGTGCTCTGGAACCTTCCACAACCACAAGGACTAGTTGCTAAAGGGATCTGCTTCATTTCTGGTACAAAATGCTTCATACATTGTTACGTGGAGAAGCTACTTTATCACTATGATTATTTTATGGAGAATTCATTGGATTTTTAAAACATCTGGCTAAATATTCTAACTTCTTTTTGTATCCAACCTAACAAAATGTACAGGCTGTGTACACAGCCTTTAAAATGAGAAGCCACTGAATGTTTTGAAAATCACTTGTCAAACATACGTATTTAGAAGTATGGCTGGCAGTGTGAGAGCCATAATTTAGTCTTCGCATTTGGAGGAGAACCTTGTATAAGACAGGACAAAGACTCTTTAGTCATTGTTATACTAAATCATGTCTTTACTTAAAGCTTTTCAAATTGCTTTGCCATACAGCGTTGTATTTTTAATTTTGATCATCTCAATTTTTGTCCTCTCCATTACCTTGTTAGGGAAGGGAGTCTTTGGTAAACCCATTTTGCAGATAAAGAAACTGAGTTCTGGAGAGAAAATACTTATCAAAGGTCACCCAGCTTCAAAGTGGTAGAACAGGAATTTGATCATTGGCTTATTTGTTTGTTTTAATAAAAACATACAGAGGTGTGAGCCAGAAAATTCGCAAAAGTGCCGTAGAAACACTTCTGGTGCATTAGTGATGTCTCAGAAGCCAGGGGTATGCACGTTATATTGGCTTAGATAAGTTTACTCTGGAATCTGTGAACTGCTCATTTCTGGCTTTTAGCTGATTGTGTGTTTAACAGTTTACTATTTAAGTTATTAACTTCCTTAAGGGCCTGACGTTTTCTTAAATGGAATTTTCATTGGACAGGAAACATTTTTTTTAATGTTTTTCATTTATTTTTGAGACAGAGAGAGAGCATGGGCAGGGGAGGGGCAGAGAGAGAGAGGGAGACACAGAATCTGAAGCAGGCTCCCAGCCATCAGCACAGAGCCCTACCTGGGGCTCGAACTCATCAACTGCGAGAGCGTGACCTGAGCCGAAGTCAGATGCTCAACCGACTGAACCACCCAGGCGCCCCAGGAAAACATTTTTTGTATCACATGTCCTTCTAATCTCCAGGGTTGACAGAACCCGCTGATTTCGAAGTCCTTCATAATTATGGGCCGTCACACTTTCATGTTTTCTGTTTTTAAGACTGGATTATTTTTTGTATACGAGTATATAATTTGGGGTACAAATGAAGAATTTAAATACACGTCTTAAAAAACAAAGCTAGAAACTTTAAATTTTGAAAGGAGAATTGTAATTGCTGGTTTTAGGAATAATATTCACACATCATCTGTTGTTTGTTTGTTTGTTTTGCTTTTTTATTTTTCCCTGGTGCTTTTAAGAAAATTTTCTCAAGGATGATTTTTTTTTTTGTCTGGTTGGTAACACCGATGAGATTTGCTTTGCAAATTAGCATCCCCTCAGGTCTTTGTTACCTTTTAGCATCTTGTGATTGTTTACAGGCTTTCTTTTAGCGGTTGTCACTATCTGTGTGAGAACTATTCTGTCATATTGCTTAAAATTTTAGATTTCCCAATATTTTCCACCTGGGTTTAATAAATGTATTTAGGGTGCTTCGTTTGTTTTTGAGTGTGTGAACGCACATCTGGTTAGTCTGTGGGGACGTTTGGTTTGTTAGACATTTTTCTCAGCAGAGCCCTGACCGTGCGTGGCCGTCCGTGGTCCTTGGGGCCTGGGCCGCTCCCCCCACTGCAGAGGTCACCGCTCAGATTCTTGCCACCTTTTATGTCTGTGGCCGTGGGACCTGTAGCGTGTGCTCTTTCTGTGGGCCTTCCTCTCTGGGAGGTTCTCCGGTCGTCCCCTGCTCTCGCTTCGGGGCCGTTCACAGTCGCGCCGCAGTCGTGTCCGTCCCACCGCGGATGGGCGCCCGCGGCGTTTCTAGGTCGGCGATGCCACGGTGAGCACCTACAGGGTTCTGCTGGGGAAGGCCTGGGTGGGGGGCACACCCAGCAGCACACACGTCCCAGTTGTGTAGCCTCCTGAGACGGGCCGGGCGATGTTCCTTCCTTCTCTGCTCTCCTAAGTTGGTCAAATATTGATAGTATTTCTGCTTTAATGGTTTGGCTGGATTCATCGAATCAGTTGTCTCTGTTTTTTGAAATTGCTCTATTTTCCTCTGCTGTCTTTAGGTTTTTCCTTATGGATTCTTTGTTTCCAGCACTTTTACTATGGTAAGCCAAAGTATGCTTCCTGAATTTGCCTCGTGGTGGTTTCTGTTAGTTTTGGAAAATTCTCGTTACTTTCTTTTTACATTTTCTTCTCGGCTTTCTCTTCAGAGATTCAGCTTACGTGTATTTTGAACATAAGTTTCTTACGTCATCTTCTCCGTTTTCTACCCTTCTCACAGGCTGGTCGTGGCTCTGTGAGGTTTGTGCTGTGATGGACCGGTCCCCCTGTGAGGCCTGGACTGTGGTAGACTGGTCCCCCCTATGAGGCCTGGGCTGTGGTGGACTGTCGGTCCCCCTGTGAGGCTGGGCCTTGAGGGACTGGTCCCTCCTCAGTGGAACCTTCCAGGAGTGTACCGAGGGCCCCTCTTTGGCAGCTGCCACCTCCCTGAGTAGCTGCAGCCTCCTCCTGGGGCTTCTTAGCTTTTTGCCATGAGTCGTTTAAGAATGTGGCAAATGGTTTGAGAAGAAAGCTTCTGAGCGTCAGGTTCGCTGCTCTCTGGGGTCTTTGTCTCGTCAGCCCTTCTGTCCAGTTTTTCTCTGCTCCCTGGTCCTTGGAGCTTCTCTTTTCCAGCAGTGGCCCTTTGCCCAGGCTTCTCCGCATCTAGAGTATGCTCTCCACCTTGGCGGTACTGACAGCTGTGGTCTGGGATGTTCAGCAGCGTCCTTGGTCTCTGCCCACTAGATACTGGAGCACCCCTTTCCTCTCCATCATAACAATCAGGATGTCCACAGACATTGCCATCTGCCCCCCACTTTGAGAATCCCTGCCCTCAAATTCTCAAAGTGTCCATGAGGTCAAAATGGTACATGCATAGGGGCGCCTGGGTGGCTCAGGCGCTTAAGTGTCTGTCTCTCGATTCTGTTCCGGTCACCATCTCACAGTTTGTGAGTTCGAGCCCCATATTGGGCTCCACATTGACAGTGTGGAGCCTGCTTCAGATTCTCTGTCCCCCTCTCTCTCCCCCTCCCCTACTCGTGCTGTCTCTGTCTCTCTCAAAATAAATAAGTAAACTTAAAAAAAAATGGACATGCTAAGGAGTCCATTCAAGGTGTCAGACTGACCAGTAGACTTGAACAAAGTAATAAAAATTTACTGATATGTTTCCATGTTCTATATTGCAAGTAACCTTTAAGAAACTACCACTACTGAGTTTTAGTATCACAGAGCATCCACAGTTATCTATAGTGGCCGTGAAAATACTACCTTTATGTTGTGTGAGGCTGGGTTCACTGTGCACTCGCACTCAGCATGTTGCACATCAGGTAACAGACGCGCAGAGGAGAACCTGTCTGTCCTCCAGGAAGCAGACATTACAGAGATTTGCAGAAATACAGAATAGGCCACTCTTCACCATTTTCATTTTTTAATAGTGGTATTAAATATTTAATATTCAGTGGTAAATATTGCCACGCATAACCCATGGCGGGGACTCCTTTTGGGGTTCTGGCCTCTCAAAACCTCGTCACAGGAGCACACAAATGGCTTTTTTTTTTTTTTTTTTTTAACGTTTATTTATTTTTGAGACAGAGAGAGACAGAGCATGAACAGGGGAGGGCAGAGAGAGAGGGAGACAGAGAATCTGAAACAGGCTCCAGGCTCTGAGCTGTCAGCACAAAGCCCGACATGGGGCTCGAACTCACAGACCGTGAGATCATGACCTGAGCCAAAGTCGGACGCTTAACTGATCAAGCCACCCAGGCACCCCCAAATGGCTTTTTATAAGATATTAATTATAGGTTTTCTTATTCTTTCTCAAGTATTTTAATATCTAAACATGTATGCATTTTATAGGTAGATGTCAGTTCTAAGACTGTCTTATCTATACTTGCAATAATTCTAAAATTAAAAGTAATGTTAATATTTGATCCTAAATTAAATTTCTCATAAAACCGTTTTGTGAAAATAGCGTGTAGTATTTGTTCTAATAGAACTTGAAATAACATAGTACCTTGGGAATGTTAACAACTTGTAGTCCTCAGCACTTGAGTAACACACTGTATCAGAAACTAATCAAGTGCATACTAACAGCCAAAACTTACATTTTTAACAGAATAAGGAGCATATTTATTATTCGTTCACTACACTGGCTGTTAAATAGCATCATTGCTCTGTTTAACCAGGGTTTTGATATCTTATTTTTGAGTTTCCTGGTACTCCTGTATTTTAGAGGATTTTTTTAGAGAGGAAGATTATTATTGAGAAATTACATTCTTAGAAATTATTTTCACCTTCATTTTGTGACCTGTTTATGTTCCTTTCTTTCTTATTGCATCATTATTTATAATAGTTAAAAATCTTAAAATAATTTTCCCATTTACATTGTAGTGGGCTTCCGTTGATAGAGTGTGATGTTGGAAAACTTGTAAGTTTTCAGGTTAGAATCGGTAAAAGTACCGAGTGGCATCCTTTCTTGTGTCTTGCTCAGATCATGGGTTCTCACGGGAGAGCCAAGTCCTACATACAGTTACTCACAGATTTCCTTCTTAGGGACTCTTCTCTGAACACGTTACTTAACGTATATCTTCCTCCCTCCCCCAGAACTCTCTGCCTGGCCTGGCCTGGCCTGGTTTATATCTCCTCTGGCGTGTTACCTGCCCTGCACAGGGCCCCACAGGGACAGCCATCCATCTCTATAGTTTGGTGTTTGTCACTGGGGCCTAGGATATTGTGTTCCTGCACAAGGAAAAATAGAGTAAAACACTGAGGGGGGTTGGACGTAGGACATTTTAATATGTGACGTGAATTATACTTTGTCACTAAGAAATCGCAGATGAAGTATAAACTTTGTTTACATATTATACTATGTTACTATTATTCCAAGGAACTTAATAGTATAAAATTTCTTTGCGATACAACATTACAAAATAGGTTAACTCTAACTTTAAAGTACCCTAAATTATTTAACTTAATTGGGTACCAAATTCAAACACAGCAAAATTTTTTTGTACTGCTTTGGGTCCTCTAGACTTGATTGTTATAAACACTGTTTTTTGACTTCTTATTTAATTTTAGGTTACCAAGGAAGACTTTGCCACGTTTGATTATATACTTTGTATGGATGAAAGCAATCTAAGGTAATCTCATGTTTTAAGGGTATTTTTATTCAACTGTCTATTTAATAATAGGTCAGATAATTTGTCTAAAGTGACTTTTTTAGTAAAGTTTTCATAGAAATGATGGTCACAATATATACAATTACCTGTTTACAATAGTAAGAGACCAGAAGGTAACTGAGAATTGTCTCCCCGGAGTGTTTACCAAGAGACACGCCCTCAGATAAGGGACAGCCTGGTCCGCGTCAGGCATTGCTGGTTTTGCCAGAGGGTGGGGTAAAGCTGTCACCTCTGTAGTGATTCCTGGGCCATGGGTGTTTCACTGTGTTTCTCCTCTTAACCTCCCCATACCTGCTGTCCCCCATCCTGCAGCAAGGAAGACTGAGGAAACTCAGCAACAAGGAAACTTTTCACTCTGTTTAAATTGTTGATTGCCTTAACTGATTGAAAAGCAGAAGCAGACAGGCTGGGGTATTAGGTAACAGTGGCCAACTGATGTGGTGCGTTGTGGGCCCTGCACATCGTTGTTCCGCGTCGAATCGGAGAGGCACCGAGAGGGTGGGTCCCGGGTTCACAGCTGGCGCAGGCCGAGCTGGGGGGGTTTGAGCTCAGCTTCCCTCAGCAGAGCCTGTTGTGGGTCTCACGTGAGCCGCAGTCCCCACGGTGCCCCATCTCCTTACGTGTCTGTTGAACCCCAGGGGACATGCATGCATTTGGGCAGCAAGGAATTCGGTGTTTCTTGAGATGTGTGCGCCTGGCACAGTGCCAGGTGCTGGGGAACGCTGAGGAGAAAACGTTCATGCCACCTGCCCCCAGGGCCGCAGGGTCTAGTGTGGACTGCGTGTGCTAACACAGAATTACACCTAACAAACAACATGATACAATGTGGTCATGCCCAAAATAAGTGAATACAATGCACATTAGAAATTTGAAGCCACTGCAGGTTAGATGAGCCAAGAGAGTATGAAGAACTCCCAGTTGTAAGCCCAGGGCACTGCGACCCTCGTCACACAGCCAGCTTTACTGACTTCGTGTTAATATGCTGAGAACCAAGACTGCAGCCGCCTGCTGCCGTCAGCACTCACCAGCACACGGAAGGGCTGGGACGTGGCCTCAGTGTGGCCTCGGGGACCTACTGCCTTAAGTCCGTGCGAATTCACAGGTATTCCACATGTGGCGGACAGATAGGATTCACAGCCTTACTGTTGTCTCGGTGAATCAGGAACATCACTGAGATACATGGTTTCTATTTTTGTTTTTCGGCGATTTGTTCTCATTTTTCTCACTTGACACAGTACTGACCGTATCAGCGGTATCCGGCCGAAACTTCCTGCGGTCTGTCTCCTGGCACAGTCCCGGGGGTCGGTGGGCACCCAGTGCAGGGGCGGAGCTGGCGGAGCCCACGCTTCAGGCCAGCTCGCTCGCTTGCTGTAGGGGTCTGCCTCCCCCTCGCTAGCACGGGGTCTGACTCATCCTAGGTGCTCAGTGGGGGTTGCTAACTAAACGGAGGAACGATCAAGATGCAGCCTGGAAAGTCGCCGCTGTTCTTGCCGCGGTGGGAGCGGAGGAGGCGGTGGCAGGAGAGCTGTGTCTGCAGCTTGGGCAGAGGCTGGAGGGGTAAACGCAGGAGCAGGGGCTACACAGGGAGACCCGGTGCATGTGTCGGGACACCTGGGGTGGGATCTGCGGCCCTTGGGCACTTGGTTCACGTGGCTCTTTGAGGTCCGTTCTGCCACCCTTGTTTAGTCTCTGAAGTAGGAGCTTTTTGATTTAATCGTTCCAACATGTGTTTCACAGGGCATATGTAGTTGTTGCCCGGCTCGCAGCGCATATCGTGCGTCAGAGTGTTCCGTGAGAATGTGCTGCTATTGCAAACCCTCTCGCCTGAGTCAGAAACCCTGGCATATGGAGGGTCACTCGGGTCGACCGAGGGTTTGGTTTCCTTTCTAAATCAGGTCACTCTTGCTGGGGTTTGATACGGATGTTTCATAAAACCCTAGCAGATGTCCCTGTTTAACTTGAAACCGTAGATCAGAAAACTAAGTTCATGTTTCAATTTTACAGAGACTTGAATAGAAAGAGTAATCAAATTAAAAACTGCAAAGCTAAAATTGAACTCCTTGGGAGCTATGATCCACAGAAACAGCTTATTATTGAAGACCCCTATTATGTAAGTACACCTCTCCTTCCGTTGTGACGCTGCTGTGTGGCGGTGGCACAGAGATGAGCCCCTGTGTGTGCCCTGCCCTGCCGTGTGCCGCACCAGATGAGGCTCTCCTAAGGGCGTTTTGTCATGCGGCTTTCACTTCTTCCCCCTGTGCTTCCAGGGGAACGAGTCCGACTTTGAGACCGTCTACCAGCAGTGTGTGAGGTGCTGCAGAGCTTTCCTGGAGAAGGCCTGCTGATGTCGCACCCGTGCCCCCGGCCCCCGGCGAGCCCCACAGGAGCCACAGTGAGGTCGCAGCTGCTTCTTCGGTTGACCCTGTTTCTTAAATGCTTGTAGATGGAAATCAGTTACTGTATTTGGCAAATAAATAGAAATGTTTCATCCAGTTTGTGGGGTACACAAAGCGTTCCTGACGAGTTGAACTCCCACTTTGCCCCGGTTACAAAAATCGTGGGACACGACCCCCAGAGCACAGAGACCTCCAGCATCCCCTTCAGGCCGTGTGGGCACACGAGCTCCGCCTCTTCCTCCCTGAGTTTGCAGACCACCGACGGGGACGATGCCCTCCGCTGCCTCATGACCCCTTCTCGCCAGGGCCCCCATCCAGCCCAGCGGGCCATCCGTGGGAGCTCACCCCAGCTCACAGTGCACACCGTTGACGTAGAAAGTGGGAAAGAGAGTTAGGTGTCCATCTTTAGAATATTTAATGCTTGCTAGTTTTTGTCTGTCTGTCTGTCCGGTTTATTTCACAGGGAAGTCAGCTTCTTTCCATTTGAACCATTTTGCCTCTGGAAATTTAATTCCATCCAGAAGGAAAGTCACTGTATGCTGGTTTTGCTTTTAAATGCTGTGTGACCCAAATGTCAAATGTAGATGAGCTCAGGTGGAGAAAAAATTATTAAAAAGTTGGGAAAAGTTCTTTTATGTTGGAATGCTTAAATATTGATACGTTAAGTATTCTTTCTTTGTTGTTTGATTTATAGACAAATACAGGTAACTTCTGTGCACTTTGAGGTAACTAATCTAAAATTCATATGGATTTGTGGCAGAAAAGATTGTTTTCAAAATAAACTGGGGAGATTATAAAAATACAACTAAGATAGAAGTCTGCCTGCTTTTTTATTGATAAGTGAAGATTTAGAAAACAGTGCTTTTATTGTCCCTTTCAGATGGTCTGTGATGCTATCTATGCATGTTTATCTTCAGTGTTAGGAAGTAAAATGACAAAAATAAGTGTATTGCTTCCACTTATGATAAAGTGTTTGTGAAAGAAATAGGAGGCCCCTGCAGCCATAAATGTCCTTGCCTGACCCCACCACCTGTGGAGTGAGACCGTCTGCTCCTTGGAGCCCTCCTGGGTGGCATGGCTAGACGGGTGACAGCTTGCTCTGCAGCCGGCCTCTACCCTGATTCGTAGCTGGTGGTCCGGAGTCCTGGGAGAAACACCACTCACCGATCGGTCTCCACCCAGAGTCTGAGTGGATCACTGCTCAGCAGAACGAGTGTAGAGGAACAGCTGCCCCATGAGGGTGCCCTGAGGGGCCGGGGGCGGAGCGGGGGGCATTTAGTTCTGGAGTCTCTTCCCACCTGGAGGATGTGCAGGCCGCCTCTCCCACCACCCTGGCAGGACGTGTGTCCGCCTCCCTGTGGAGTCACCCGAAGAGAGTCCTACCTGAAAACTTTTCCTCAGACAAGTAGGAACCTCTCAAGGTTAAATGTATTGAGAAATTGGTGATGATACCCTAAAAAGGAAAGAATTGAGATGGAAAGATCAGGTAATTCACCACCATTAGAAAATAGGAATGAGAAAGAGCACTTCAGAGTTACACTCTGCCCTCATCAGTCAGTAGTTGCTGAATAATCTCAAAGTAATGTCATACTCTGTGCCTTCGTGATCATGAATGAATCCCTATAGTTTGTTTCTTTACCATTTGAATACGTATCTTAAATATGAACCTCAGACACATCCCACAACTCATGTCTACTTTGTCCTTACGGCTGTATCCAGGCGAGAAGTCATGTGAACAGAGAAACTCCTGCTGATTTCAGTTGTGTTAAATTGGATGCGATCATTTGTTCAAAACAGATCCACCTGTAAACATCTAGAGCCACTTGGAAGTCTTACCTCTTAGTGTTTTCATGATTACCATGTCACACGGGAAATGCATTCTTATTTAAATATTTATTAAATACTCATCACCATATCAGGCTCTATCTTAAGACATGCCACAGTTCCATAGTAGCATCTCCTTAAAAAAAAGTCAATTTAATTGTCCCTTCCAAGAATCCATAGCCTTGCCACTTCATGTATTCATGGCTTTTGTATTCCATGACATTCTTGCCAGTGTTGCAATCTCTTCATAGGTCTGTAAATCATGAATTCCCACCAGTGAACTCATCAGAGGTAAAGAGTCACTTTTAAGACTTCATTATAATAAACACTGTTTATTACTTGTTTCAGCATTTACAGTATTTACATATTGCACAATATCTGGATACTATCTTACATTTATTGTACAAAGGACAAATGAAATGAGCCTGGGTATGTTCACAGATTTACACTCCACTGTCTCCAAAACGTGACACGTTTTTTTGTGGGTTTTCATGCAATTCCAAATAATACTCTGGGAATTTAATTGTAAAAGTAATAAAAATATTAAATCATACCATATGCTGTATGAAAATATAGTTTCGGATTCTGTTTATGTTTCTAAAGAAATATTCTTTGAGATTTCACCTAATTAGGAAAAGGAAATCGCTTTCTCTGTCACTTTGTAGCCCTGCTCATCAGGCGTGGATCCTTCCTTCTTTTTCTCCAAAATCACAAGTGGCCAGTATTAACGTCAGGTACGCTGATTTGCTGAATACATATCTGCCAACAGTGTCGACATACACAACTCAAAGGAATTATGGAAGAGTCTGTCTGCAAAAATAAATCTCTTGTTCACAAGGGGATGTGTTCGTGAAGGTAGTAGGTTCTGTCCCCTGTTGGTTCCCAAGGCACTTCTCATGGTTCACGGGCTGCCGTCCCTCTGCCCTCTGTTCACGGCTGAAAAACATGGTTTCAGATATAACCATCCACATTTAGCGCTTCTAGAAGACCTAGATGTTGAATTATGTAACATAATGTGTTTATAAACACAAGGGATCAAGGGCTGCATGTATGTATATTTCGCTGTTCCAAAAAGCATAGTCCATTTATTGTGGAAAATAACCGGGTCCTACAGTTGTTACATGCTCACTGTGCTAAGGGGTGAAAACCTCCCTAAATACGACCAAACGCTTGTTAAAGTCTGAAGACAGTCCTTAACTCCTGATGTGTGTGTTGTCAAGTCCTCGGTAACTGGGGCCACCACTCCGATTGACAGTTGGTGGCAGTCCTGAGACACGGTCGATTGGCCTTCACACTTCCATCTTCATGAGCATTTGCAAAACCGATAACCAAGAATAAACTCTTTATTCTAGCACTCCATGCAGTATACCCGAACCACTGGTGTATCATTCGTTAATTTAAAAAATAATGGTAAGCTTCAGGGTTACTGAAAGTAGGCTGCATTTTGTAGACTGAACTAGGTCCTTGTTGCTCAGAACTACATTTCCTTGGAAACACTCCAGAGCTCAGGGTTCTAGCTTCCCTGAGCTGCAGCACCAGGTGATGAAGTGTGTGTGGGAGCGTCTCGAGTGGGTCTCTGACTATGAGGGAGAGTGGCTGGGAGCCTGTGGTTTCCCTTTGGCTGGAGGGGATCAGTTAGTGAGCTTCAGAAAGAAGGAGGCAAGGGGGTTTGTGCTCAGCTCACAAACGTGAAGAGTCCCTGTGCTCGGACCCCATATACACTGGCTGCTTCCAGGCTCAGCCTCGGAGAAGACAAGGCTTCGGTCTGGAGCCGGACGAGGAACCCTGTTCTGCAGCCGTGTCCGTCCCGTGCAGCTGCCAGGGCAGCAGAAGACAGGTGTTTGAGCCCCGCTTCCTCCACACCAGAGCAGCTGTGTTCTGCGAGTGCCCTCCTGTGTCTCACTGATGTCCTCACCCAACCCGCAGGGCCCTGCCTGTCTACGTTGTTGTGACCAACGTTGTTCTTGCAGTTTAAAACTTCTGGAATTAGCAGAAATTAATCTTTAAAAAATATTAGGAAATTATTATAGTTAGCAGAAATGTCTGTGTTTTTCCAACTTTACCCATTTCTTGACCAAAATGAACACAGTTACAGCCTGACAAGTGTGACAGTGGGCGCAGTGGCCTTTGGGCATCACACCTGTGGGCACACACCATCCTCGTCTCCCTTGTCCCACCATCCAGCCGGACCCTGACTCGGTGGGTCAGGGTGGGGAAGTGCACCAACTATCAGCACCTTTCCCGAGACCACATCGCCTCCCGCCAGGACTCCCTCCCTTTTCGGTGTTTCCATGAGTATCCAAAGCCCTGACGTGCCCATCCCGGGACTGATGCAGGGGTCGAACCACGCTCGGTTCTAGTTCCACACCCACGTCATTCCTTAGGTCGTGACAGTCATTCTTGATCTAGTAAGGACACCCTGCTGCCCCTCTAGGAGCAACCAACTGTGGGGGGGCACAGTTAATGGGTGTAGAGACCGGGAGCATGTTCCTGATTAGATGGCCACAGGGCATTTGGTCTCCCTGCCCCTAAGTGAATGGAAGTTGTTTTCCAAGGACGTGCCTGGCTCATCTCTGCAAACACTGGTGGTCTCACTATGAAGCAAGGCCTAATACGAACAACAACATCCTCTTCCCAAGCATATCGCCTGCAGAGACAGGAGAGTCCATCCACTGCTTTAAAAAAGAAGCCTCTTCTGTATGCCTTGTGGGCAGTGGAAGAAACCAGATAGGACTCAGATGGAAGTGAAGGTGAGGTCAAGTTAGGGCACGACATTTCTCAGCTCTGGCATTCAAAACCATGCTTTTCCTTCTCCCCAAGTGCAGAGTGCCACACAAGTGTCCGTGAACCGGCACAAAACGTGGCCTCGTAATCCCCCGCTCAACCCCATGCTCCACCCAACCCCCATGTTGCTCCTCTCGTTACCGTGGGCGTTTGGCGGGGACAACGTGGTGCTGGGGACGGGGCTGACTGTGCCTGCCTGGCCAGTCCCGGCTCCCAGGTTTGGCTCAGCCACTCCGCACTGTCTGGACGTTAACTTATCACCACCGGCTTTTCCACAGCGAGCGTCAGGACTTCTCTCCCCTCACACGAGACAAATGAGGGTAACCCTGGACAAACACAGCATCCTACCCCCTTTTTATTAATGCTTCTGGACAGCAGATAAATTGTCTGGGAACAGCCATGTGAGGACCAGAAGCATGTCTGGTGCGGGTAGACTTGGCTTCTGAAATGCCCAGCACCCACAAGACGCACGGTGAATGTAAGATTCTGCGACTGAAACCCACGGTATTTGCATCAGGAAAATAAGCCCTTTCAGCCATCTGTGTGGCTGACCGCTGGTGTTACAGGTCGCACATCAGCCCTCAAGAGGCCAAGGTAAAAAAATTTAGTTCATAAGCTCTTGATGTGCATTTATATTTTTACCGTTGGAGCCTATGAAAGAAACATATGAAGAGAATAGTTATTCTTGGCTATTCCTTATAAGCTAACTGGCATGATGATAGACTCCAACTCAAACATTTGCCAGATAATGTCTATAAAAGTTGCATGGATATGGTTAGTCATACACTCATTTATGAGTGTAAGTGAATGAGTGAAAGCCGAAAAGTGAACAGGCGTGATTTTAGACGTGCCTCCTGTTTTATGCACTAACATGCTGAAACTAGTCCACTAATGGGTTTTGTTTCCAGTTAGCACTCTGCCAACGGAGCCCTCACGGGAAAAATTCACAACAGCTGCCTGGGGTACTGTGTGCAGGTAGCCGGAGTACCTTACACTGATGGCCGTTATTTGGAGATATTCTGAGTGTCACTGGACTCAAA